CTAAGACTTTGATAGATTTGCTAGCGAAAGAGCATTTCTTAGTGTTTACTTGAAGCCCGGCGCCGGCAAGGCACGTCAAAACTTGATCCAATCGTTCTAGGTGCTCAGGAAACGTTGAAGAAAAGATAATAATGTCGTCCAGGTAGCAAAGGCAGCTTTTCCATTTCAGGCCGCGCAGCACGGTATCTATCATGCGCTCAATAGTCGCGGGTGCGTTGCAGAGCCCGAAAGGTATCACGTTGAATTCATACAGCCCGTCGGGGGTTGCGAATGCCGCTTTCTCCTTATCGTCTTCAGACATGGGGATCTGCCAGTACCCAGAACGCAAGTCGATGCTTGAAAAGAATTCCGCGCCTTGTAGGGAATCAAGGGCGTCGTCAATGCGTGGCATAGGGTACACGTCCTTGCGTGTGATCTTATAGAGCGCCCTGTAGCCCACGCAAAACCGCACAGAGCCATCTTTTTTATGGACCAAAACAATAGGAGACGACCAAGGGCTAGATGAGGGACGAATGACTTCCCGTTTAAGCATGTCCGCAACGTTTTCTTCTATAATTTTTCTTTCCGTTAGAGACACGCGGTAGGGTCGGCGGTGTACAATAGATGTCCCAACAGTTTGAATTCGATGTGCTGTAGTATTAGTGCGGCCCAGCTTAGACAAGCAAATATCGAAAGAATTTGCATGATTCTCTAACAATGCGAGCAGCTGCTGCCTCTGTGAATATGTGAATTCGCTGCTGATAGTGGTGGTAAAGACGGAGGAGAAAACATGCTCACCGAGGCAAGGTTCTTTGGATGCGATGGTCTGAAGTGGCATGATGAGTACAGGCTCGAAGTCAGCAACACGGGCCACAGTAGTGCCCTGTGGCAGTAAGATCTTCTCCGGTGTAGAGTTGACAGCGGTGACAAGTGCCGAGCCATTGCAAAAACGAACGACACCGGACGGAAGAACTATACCTTTGCGAACGCAAAGTGGTGACGGTGAGACCAATACATCCCCGTGATAGATGTCGTTGGACGTAATGCTGACAATTCGCTCTTGTAGTGGCGGGAGTTCGATGTCTTTCGCAGTGACCAGACGAAGTGGCTTCTGATTATCGTCGTCAAGCATGTAGTCGGTGTCAGCGAGGTGAACGACGCGTTATCTTCAACAAATCGCCGCGGAAGCAGATGATAGAAAATCCCACCCTAAAATTAGTTGATGAGAGCAGCGGGACAGGACTGCAAACTGGACATGATGGCGGATGCCGTCGATGAAAACACGCACAGTACAAAGCGCGGAAGGGCGAATGACGTTCCCCTGGGCAGCAACTAACGTGGGGCCATCGTAAGGCGTCATTACTTTCCTTAAATGTTCACACAAATCAGAACGTATCACAGACAATGTCGCACCTGTGTCTACCAAAGCATCGACTCGCACTCCTTCCACTTCCACAGAAACCTTGTTACACGGGCCTAATGGAGGAATTACAGTTCTAATTCCGAATGCAGTTTTTCCTCCACAAACTGCATCACTTAGTTTTCCGAAGAGGTGAATGAGGCGGGCAGAAGTGGAGAAGTGGAACGGCGGAAGGGCGAAGGCGAGCGGCGTCTCGTGTTTCGGCTGTTTCGAGGTGCAGTCGATGCAGGAGGAGATGGAGACCGGTGCGGGGGAGACGAATAACGCCGACCTTGATAAGACGCCCCGGTGTACAAATCCCGTTCACGCACATCGTTCCGACGCTCATCTTGCTGGCGCTTTCGGCAGAAACGAGATATGTGGCCGCGGTAGCCACAGTAGTAGCATACAGGGTGAGACGAGTGCCACGGTGGGGAATAGAAGGCATTCGGGGCACCTGGAGATAGCGCGGTCAGGTGGGCCGAAGGGTCAGGGGGCACGGAATGGTAGTTCACCGGGGTAGCGGCAGCAACTGACGCGTAGGATGGACGTGGCAATGACGCGTGGGCGTCGCTGGGAGGCACGGCAGCAACTTGAGGGTACGTGGCTGTAGGGTGAGAAGCAGGTGGCTGTACGGGCGCAGAGCCAGTCAGGGATGTAAGTTCCTCCCTGATGATGTCACGTAAGGGCATTCCCGAAGGCTGTGTAGGTCGTGGTGTAAGAGGTGTGAAGCCCATGGACCGCAATTCTTCGCGTATAATGTCCCGGATGAGGTCACGCAGATGGCCATCTGACGTGGAGTGGTGGTCGCCGATGTCTGGTTGAAGGCGAACGGAGTCCAGCGCATCAAGGCGCTGGCATGTCGCCGCGACATCAGCGATGGTAGCTGGGTTTTGCACAGCGAGGGCATTAAAGGCAACAGGCCCAATGCCTTTCAATATGTGGCGCACGTTTTCTGATTCCGGCATGGATTGATTGACACGCCGGCAGAGTGCGAGGACATCCTCGATGTATGAAGTATACGATTCACCGGGATGTTGTCGGCGAGTATCGAGTGTCCTCTTCGCGACGGCGGATCGAATGTCTGGTGTCCCAAAGACGTGCCGCAGCTGCTGCGGGAAGGTAGCCCAGTCGGGTAAGTCAACGACGTGGTTAAAATACCATGTCTTCGCGACTCCGACCAGATAAAAAGACACGTAACGCAGTTTGACGGCCTCGTCCCACCTATTAGCGGCACTTACGCGGTCGTAGTCATCAAGCCAGTCTTCTACGCCTTCTCCCCGAAGACGAGCGAAGAGCGGGGGTTCCCGCTGATGTCCGTGTATGTAAGTAGGAGGGGCAGCTTGAGGCGGTGCGTGTTTGATGACATCAGTGCCGGTAGGCTTGGTCTGGGACATGCTGCCTGACTGTAGGCGCAAGCGGTGGCCTGAACGAAGCTCCAGGGGGTATAGCGGGCTGCGGGAGGTCAGAGGACAGAAAATCCACCTCCACCACGTATGAAGTCTTGGTAGTCTTGGCTGCGACAGCGTTTATTTGAGGAAAGACCTCGCAAAACGAACGGACAGAGCCAGCACACAGACGATGACGATGATGAAGACCCAGAGTGGCAATGAGGGCAAAGAGACAAGCGAATGATGGTGATTGTGATTATGCAGGGATGAGGACGATGTAAGTTACAACTGCCCACAATATATATATATATATATATATATATATATATAGGTATGAAGAAAAGCGGGAGGTAAACCATAAAGCAAGTATCTGGTTTGCTACCCTGCACCGGGGAAGAGGGAGTGGGAGACAGTAAGAAGGAAAGGAAAAAGGATAAGAGAGAGAACGAAAGCTCAAAACTTCGACTGAAGCACGTATGGTAGCACTACACGTACAAGAGCTTACCGTTTTTAAAATAACTTCCCGTGGAGGCAATCCTTTACATAGTATCTGCGAGTATCAATTCATAGCAAGTTGCAGTCATCTAATTTCGGCAAGACGCTCACTCTAGAGGCCTTAAAAGAAAAAAAAAAGAGCCTGCAGCGTTCGAATAAAGCAGTGATCGGTTATAATGCGGATTTATTGAATGCTGGTATGTTGAAATGCCCTCTATCATTTGACGTAGAGTTAACTTTCTTTTTTTCGATAACGCAGATACTCCTTTTTAAGTGTGGTGGCTCTTTTGAGAGAGTTTTTGTGTTTAGCTGCGCTTTCCAATGTGGGCGGCTAATTATAGCGGCAGACGACGCGCCTCGATCACCTAGTTCAAATAAACGGATATGTGTATTTCTCGTCTTTGTTTTCTTTCGGGCGTTTGTAAAGAGCGCCCATAGAGGAAGATTATGGTGCAGCGCAATATTTTGAAAACGTCGTGTGTTCTACATGGAGTACATGACACCCTCGGCGAGGAAGTAGTATCTGACCTTCATAGTGGTATCGACTACTCTGAAATACAATACAATAAATCAAGTCAAAGAAAAGAATAGAAAAAGGAAGACGTCGGAAGGCTGTAATCAGTAGAAATTTTCCGGTTTACTGCCCTCTATTGGGGCGCCAGAAAAACGGGTAGAGACACAGGTGGGCTCACGGGGGAAAAGGGGAAGGGGGAGGGAGGTGGCCATTTCTACTAGTCACGTTAGATGAGGGAGGCTCAAAGTCTGCACTATACATAGACTTCATAGGGAGGGGGGCATTGCGATCAACCTTCGCCCCCTCCCCTAAAAGGGAAACTCTGCCCACACGCACATGTATCATGACATACAGGACAAAAGAGAGAGAGAGTGATAGAGAGAAAAAGAGAGAGTGTTCGCAATAGCAGTGTTCACGCAGACAGGTTGCCTACAAGAAGTGTATTGCACAGTCCTCTCTTTCGATGATTCGTTTCATCGCGGTGCTGTAGAATTCCTTCCTCGTAAAATTGCAGCATTCCTTCGTCGAACTAGTTGAGCACGAGCGAGACTGATTGTCTCGGTGCAGTGTACAGCGAGGCAGTAGGGGACGCGACGTATGGTTTCGTCGGCCACCGCATGCTGTGATCACAGGCTGTGGTGAACGCAAGCCGAACGAAGTAACCTGGGCTCGATCTAAGGTTATTTTGATTGTATATATCTCGCGTAGTTGTCTTTCTATGCCGAACAAACAGACATTGCAGTTTAAAGACAGCGATACAAAGAAACATTAAGGCTATTTTTTTTGGTATACCATATGCCGAAAACATTTTAGTGAGCACCACACACCCTTTACAGCTGTTCCTGCCGCAGTGCATGCCAACTGAGTGAACTGTCAGTGTCGCAGAATGGAAATGCTTGCATAAACGTGCCGTATAGCAAATCGCATTGTTTCATTCAGCTGTCTGCTAATACAAATAATCGTAAAACCACCGTACAATTCAAGCGGGAGAGAACTATATTAAAGCGCAGGGCAAACGCAAGCTCCTAGTTTGTACTACGCTTGTGTTGGTAGGTGTGGTAAGAATGCGGCGCCAGTTAATAGTATCTTACAATAGTCATATAACCAACTAGCCCTAGTCTCTTGTTCAATATAACAGCGTCACAGGAGAGACATTGAGCTACTAAAAAGTCACAGCACTGAAGGAATTTTTTTCTTGCTCAATTGCTCACTAATTTCGCAGATTGTGCAGGAATATGAGAGAGCTGTCATCTTCAGACTCGGTCGCCTTGTCAAAGGAGGAGCACGAGGACCAGGTGAGAGTTTCAAACAAAACACACTTGCACAGTGATCTTTTTTTCTTTCCTTTTTTCATAGCGTTAAAATAAACTCCGAGTCCTTTATTTACAAGGGCTCATTGAGAGCCGGTTGCATTAATTTAAATGACACCTCATAATTACGAACGTCTAGCAGCTTCCAGCCCTCGTCTGCACTGAATTCACCTCTTTCCTTGTGCTTTCGTCCCCACCCATCCTCTATGTATTTATCTCTGTAGAAAGCAAAACCGCAAATAAGCGCATGATGCTACCACATTGTTCAGTTTGAATGCACGTTGTCGGAATGAATTGAACACTTTAATTCGCGCTACTACGTTGAGTATTTTTCATTGTATAAGTAGGTGAACTTCTGAAGTGACGATTTGTTTCTGGAACCCGGTTTCTCGCAGGCCTTTTCTTCATCATTCCTTGCATTGACAACTATACAAAAGTAGACTTGAGAACTGTATCCTTCGACGTGCCACCTCAAGAGGTAAGTGCTCTATATTTACAGGTAGACGGGGGAGACGCGACACGCAGCACGCTATAGACCATTTACTGCAGCTAGTTTGTTTATGCAAAACTAGATGGCGCCACCGCGCTGGAGTGTTATGGCCTTCTCCTCGGCGGCGCGGCCGTGATGTGGCGTGTGGCGGCCGTGGCGATGACGCGACGACCAACGGCAATGATTAATCGCGGACGGCACTTGCGTGAGGGTGATTGTAAAGGCGACAACAATTTTGTCTTATCGGTGATTAGTTCGCGATTGCTTAGCGACGAAGGCAGCACATACACGTATCAGCCGCATGACAACTCGAGCAGACAACATGGTAGCTGTGTGTGTGTGTGTGTGTGTGTGTGTGTGTGTGTGTGTGTGTGTGTGTGTGTGGTGTGTGTGTGTGTGTGTGTGTGTTTTCGTCTGTTTGCGAAGCATAATTTTTTGCGTAACGCATTATTTCATGCTTCAAAGGACACCCTCGAAAGCGTAAGCACCGAACGCCATCTTTCGCGCGCCACAGCTGATTAACACATTTAATATGCACAAAGAATACACTAGCGGTCACGTATTGCAAAGAAATAAGAGTGAGCAATTTGATCTCATTCCATCCACACAAAAAGCGTTGCTTGGCTGCATGTGCTGCCTGCCAAGCCAATATGAAGCAAAAATGTCGAGGATCGGGTCATGTGGTAGATGATTGAAAACAAAGAACTATATGTAGCTTTAAACACAACGGACACGGAAAATGATGACGACAGGACATAATAACAGAAGGCTAGTGCGAAGTCTCTCTTAGATTCTGGTATTGTTGGCTTTTGCTCTTTGTCACCGACATACGGTCCTGTGGCTTCAAACGTTCCTTCGCCCTGACTCAGCGGCAGAATTGTTGCAATTGTCAATGACTAAATCACTACCGATGGTCCTGTAACGCCCCACAAGTCCGTGTTAATCACAGGGGAGTTTAATTCTCGATGGCTCGCACAGATCCTGACCAAGGACTCGGTGACCGTCGCAGTGGACGCTGTGGTGTACTACCGCATCCAGAATGCCACCGTGGCCGTGACCAACGTGGAAGACTACGGGCGCTCGACTCGCCTCCTGGCGGCCACTACTCTTCGCAACGTGCTCGGTACCAAGAGCCTCTCTGAGATCCTGTCTGAGCGCGAAGCCATCAGCCACACCATGCAGGTAACGTGTGTGGTGCACGTCTGATCATTCCCGTGTTTTACGCTGGAAGCCCGCAGTTCGGTCGAAAAAAAAAGTTTCATTGTGTCAAAGAGAGAGCGGGGGCATTTCCCGGACTAATTGCGGCAACCCGCGTTTTTTTTTATGGTGCTATAAAATCTCACCGTATTTCGCTCCCACAAGATCACTGATTATATTTGATACCCGTGCACCGTGTTCAGGAGAAAATCTTGGTATGTCACTGAGCTACCGTGGCAAAGAGGTGCGATGACTTCTGAGAGTGAAGTCAAGATATTTGTACTTACGGAGTTCTAGCATTTTTCAGGGCTGAATTCACATTTCTAACTGTTTTTTAAATTTTTTATACCTTAACGCAGCCGTCCTTCAATTAAAAAAGTGTATTTATTTCTTAGCAAGAGAGAAATAAATAAAAGGAAGATGCAGGGAGGTTAACCTAGAAGAACTGGTTTGCTACCCTGTACTCGGGTGGGGAAATGAGGGTCGGAAGGAGGATAGGGAGAGATATATAAAATAAATTAGGGAAAAAATACGCATTCACACACATGCATGGCGTTCCAATCACAGACGTTTGGAGAGGCCGGTTGAACGCAAGAAGTGCAGGAGCGCCTTCAAAGCCTTGTTCTGCAACATAAAGGCCTGTCTGTAGCCAAGGATTCTTTGTTCCGAAAGAGTCTGGTAGTCCAGTTCGTCTATTGCATTGCAGAGTGACTGTCTCTGCGAGCAGTAATGTGAGAATTCGCACAGAATAGGCCAAGTTGTTTCGTCACTGCCACAATAGTCACATTCAGCACTGTCGGCCATCCTTATCCGGAATGCGTAGGCATTGGTAAATGCGACACACAACCATAACAATAGAATCGACGCCCTAACGTATGGCCGGACGAAATAAACGCATATTCTGTTCGATCTTTAGGAGTCACTTAGCCCGCGTACCCTTCAGCGAAGGAAAGATTAGAAATAAGAGGGGACACAGCAGCACGCATGCGCTCAAGGGGGCAATCGTGTCATCGCTTCATTTTATTTTGTTTTCTCCCATTGTGATGTTATCGCCACTCCTGTCATAGCCGATGATGGGCTGCAGTGTGTAGAAATTGAACAAAATGAAATAAAATGAAGATCTTATACTCTAAGCGTTCTTTTTTGGATCCGACCAACAAACTTTGCCCACACCCCCCAACTATTTAATGGAAACCCCAGCGCACGCCTACGTACAACAGCATTGGGCAATGTATCCCGCTTAGCGGCAAAACCGCGGCACGGTTATCATTCTGACTTCAATGCTCCTGAAGAGGAGGCCTCATTATCAACTGCTGGCCGATAGGGCCGTTCGATAAAGGTACAACGCAAATGCGATCGTGTAGCGTGGGCAAGTTCTCTACGCTAAAGCACCGCGTGTACATGGGGTCAAAATGAACACGGACGCATTCACCCGAGGTTTTTTTTTTTCTCTTCATAATCATCGTATGGATTTTGACTGTAACTTATGAATGAGAGAACAAATGAAAGCGTAACAGTTTTAATGACCGAAATGCGTATCAGTTACCACCTGGAACGCTGGCGTGCTCGTTCGTCACTAAATGAACGCGCTGATGCCATATACGTAGCGTGACGGGATATCATTTGATTTGATTGATATGTGGGGTTTAACGTCCCAAAACCACCATATGGCTATGAGAGACGCCGTAGTGGAGGGCTCGGGAAATTTCGACCACCTAGGGTTCTTTAACGTGCACCCAAGTCTGAGTACACGGGCCTACAACATTTCCGCCTCCATCGGAAATGCAGCCGCCGCAGCCGGGATACGAACCCGCGACCTGCGGATCAGCAGCCGAGTACCTTAGCCACTAGACCACCACGGCGAGGCCGTGACGGGATATCAGTATACGCTTGAAGTTAATTTCATGCTGTGCTAATTTCGCAACATGAATTGTTCTTTTATTTCAATTGCATGAACGGGAATTTGTGGCAAGGTGACGGTTGCCTTAGCATGCAGATACCTCATTACGAAGATGTCAAGCCACAGACGTCACAGGAGCTCTGAATGGAATGCATATAATGACTCGCTCCGAGACATTTCAAAACAAGTGCAGCTTGACCTATATCGTGTGTCCTAAATGCCGTCACGGGGTGCGCGTGAATTGTTAGGAAGCATTCTTGTGCGTTCGCGTTTGAAACCACGACATGATTATGAGAGGCGCCGTAGTGGAGGGCTTCAGCAATTTCGACCACCTGGGGTTCTTTATCGTGCACGGGCATTGCACATTGCACGGGCCTCCGCCATTTCGCCTCCACTGAAATACAACCGCCACGACCGGGATCGAGCCCGCGACCTTCGGGTCAGCTGTCGAGAAGCCTAACCACTGCACCACAGCGGCACCACAATTAAACGTCCCAGTTGATGCGCTCGCGTGCATGCACCTCTAAGACAAAAAATATTTTTAAAAAATGCGTGCGCTGTTGGACGTTTTTATATAACTACGCGGCGTCGTAGGGATAGTAAGTTACGCAGTATAGGATTGTAAGTTAGCGCAAAGGCAAACACAAGTAACTATTCGTACCCCGCCGCGGTGGTCTAGTGGCTGAGGTACTCGGCTGCTGACCGACAGGTCGCGGGATCGAATGCCGGCTGCGGCGGCTGCATTTCCGATGAAGGCAGAAATACTGTAGGCCCGTGTGCTCAGATTTGGGTTCACGGTAAAGAAACCCAGGAGGTCAAAATTTCGGGAGCCCTCCACTATGGCGTCTCTCATAATCATATGGTGGTTTTGGGACGTTAAACCCCACAAATCAATCAATCAAACGAGTAACCGTGATGAAGCTATTATTTGTAACCAAACCAAAAGAAAAAAAAACAAGAGTAAATAATAAAAAGTAAAAGCCCTATTATAATTTTACGGCTTTTATTCTTCGCAGAAAGACCGGGGCTTAGAGTTACGATCGACGTGTTCTGAAGTCGCACTCTGCCTCTCGCGCTGTTGCATCAGCTGCGCTGGGCTCGTGTCGTAGATCTTATTGCGGCGCGTCCGCATGGCGACGTAATTCAGTTTTTGGCACATGTTGATATGTTTGCTTTCTTCATGAAGCACTATGGTAGCAGTTGATCCTCTGTAGTTTTCTTCCGGGATGTTTATATATACTTCATCGACGTCCTGAAGGGTGCAGCAGCAAGCACAGGACCGGGTTAACTGGCGGAACATGGGAGAGGCCTTTGTCCTGCAGTGGACGTAGTCAGGCTTATGATGATGACGATGATGATGATATGTTTGCAGCAAACAGAAGGACGGAAAGAAAGAAACTCGGGGACACTACTAGATTAACAACTAGCCCCGGGTCGAGCCATTGTATAGTGTCGACGCACTCGTGGCTGTTGATGCGTGGAGTGGTGGGCGACTCGGCTCCGAAAGCGCCACTGTACGTGCATTTATAGAGATAAGCGAATGTGGCCTTTTGGCCTCGACGATTAAGAGGCGGCAATCGCTTATCGGTCAGCCGCGACGAAAACATTCCTCGGCCCCACGCAGCGCGAACGTCATTTGCTATTTTGAGATCGCGAGTGTATGTATGCTATACAGGGAACGAATAGCAAGATGTTAGAACGGACGTATACCGTTTCCGTGTGCCGTAATGAACTACCTATTTCTGCAGTCAGTTGGTTCATGAAGTGTGCCTCAGCATTTTACTGAACTGGCTATAGAATGGCTGTCACCTTTGAGAGGACGAAAGGTGAATATGGGCTGCGACGAATTCTTCACACAGTGTCGGGACCTGAGGTTTGCTCCTCTATTAAACATTTCGCCTCTCATGCTCCACTTTCTCCTCTTTCCTACCGTACAGCTCCTATCAGCTAAAGCGTACACCCGCAGCAGGTAGGAAAAATAAATTAAAATAGAAGGATTGCAGGGCGGCGTACAGCCGTAAAACATTTGCAGCCTTTTCCAATGTGAAGCAAGATGTAAGTTTCGCGTGGTAGTAAAGTGTGTACTACTCTTTCATTCTTATTTTCCAGTGTTTACTGGGTGGCGATTTCGAAAGTTATTGGTCGTGGATGTTTCGGGCATGTAAGCTACGTCAGCAGTGATTATGTAAAAATAAGCGTACACTCGCATTCGTGCGGAAATATAGAGTTTGGGCATGTTCTTTCCTCCAGCTTTTGTGAAAATCGTTACCACTTCGAACCTATACCGCGCGCGTGCTGTCATGAATGACAAAATGCAGCCGTGCAAAGCGTTTGGTGTAAAGCGAGTGCGCGTCAAATTTTAGCATGTACCGCCAACACGTCAACGCACACCCACGCATCGTGGTACACCTCCACATTCTTGAACAAGGCAAGAAAAAAGCGGTTTTCATTTAGGACAAGGGACATGACGGGAGGGTCACTCTCTCCCCGCATGTAAACGATAGGCATTTAAAGATATGTATGTATACTGTAGCGAAACGTCGGGGATGTTTAAGAAAAAAGGGACACGAAGAGGTGGGAGCAACTCCGCAAAGGAAAGCGATGGACAGTCAGCACAATGACTTTGGAGAGCACTCATTAGGAGGTTCATTTATCTAACACAACTTGAGGTCGCAAACTGCGCTGGCCAAACAATACAAAACATATAGCCTTGCATGACTACCCTGGTCTCTGGTGGTGAGATTCGCAGTGGGTTCAGAGCTTGCTTACATCAAAAATCTCTGAGTCCCTGCCTAACAGGGTTTCTGAAGCATTCAGGAGGACGTATACCTCACGGAGATCTACTGTTTTTAATCACTTTTCAATTGTCTTACTCGTACCAATCAGGCAAACCGAACGCAACCAATCACAAAAGCAATTTATGTGGTCGCGTGAATTCTGCTTCGCGACAAAACTACTGCAGATTGAGTGGAGCCGCCACCTGGCGGCAACTGGCTGAAGAGCCTAGTGTGGATTTCTCCCCGCGTCGTCTGCTAGCCCCGTCGTGTTTGCATCTGCGCGCATACGTCATGCACGTTCTTAAAGC